GCGGGAGGGGCAGGCAGGCCGGGACCCCGCCGCCTTCCTCTCTCTCCTCTCCGGCTGCTGGCGTGCGGGGAGCTCCAGGCCCTGGTGCGCTCTGGGGTGGAAATGGGGCGAGTCTGGCGCACAGTCAAACCACAACGGGCATGGGAGAGAGAAATGTTGGTTTTTGGAGCGGGGAGACCTAGGACTCGCAGTCCGGAGTCCCGGAGTGGGTGCAGGGCACCGCGGAGGGTTCCAGGCCCTGGGAACTTCGGCGGCGCCTCTGACCTTGACCCTCCAAAGTCCGCAGTCGGCACCGCCCACGAGCTCCCCTAATCCCTTCCCTCTGCCTCATCCTTTGCTTCACTTCATCCATTTTCCTCTTCCCTCTTTTCTGCTGGTCTTGAACCCACCCCGCCTCTATGTACCTAGGAGTTTCTCCGCTACTCTCAGTGTGGGCAGTTGTCATCTGGGGACTCACTGGCCTGTCACACAGGCGCTGCCCGAAGCGGCTAGGATGATAGAAAGGCTCCCATGGATTCTGCAACCCTTATTGATTGCCCATCCTGCCTGCAGTCCCGCCCAGGTTCTATCCCCAGAAGTAACACCGCCCCTCCCCTTAGCCCTGTGGCTCCAGCGAGGCTCACAGTATGAAGTTTCTGTCCCTTTATACAGCACAGAGACCTCTAACCCAAGACTTTTCTCCTGACCCGTATTTCGCCTGCTCACCAGACTTCTTTACCTGAGCCAGTGGGCATGCCCCTTAGATACGCATTCTTCCATCCACTCTTGCCAAGTGCCCTGGGGGGGCCTGCACAGGGTCAGCCCTGAATGTCTCAGGCTTGGCCTTTAAAACCAGTTGCTAAGAGAGCCTGTGCACAGCTCTGAGATTTTGCACTTGATCTCAGCCAAAAGGCCAAGAAGTGATAGCTCTAAGATTCTGTAACAGCACCCTGTTCTGGGGCCCAGGAAAGGCCTGAGTGCAGGCAGGACTGAAGGGTGACAAAGAGGCACCTTCAGCACTAGTACTTGGTAACAGGCCTGGTGTTCTGCCACCTGTACCCCATGGCCAGGTAGAAACCAGCATTGGGTGCTCCTCCCTTCCTAGTGCCTTCACTTGGTTGCTCCTGACCTGCTGCTCAAGGCACCCTTGCCTGCAGCTTGCTTTGCTCCTGAAAGCTTAGGCCACCTCACTTGGGGTCACATTGCCTAATAAGTCCAAAACCTGTAGCCTGGCATTCAATGCCTGCCATATTGTAGTTTCTGTCTCTTTGTTCAGCATGTGCTCAGTCCAGCCAGGTGTCTGCTGACCTGGTTTTCTGTTCCTTTCCTTCTATGGGTCGAGACGTGCTCCTGCTGGAGCTCTGCCTTCCTATGGTTGCCATCCAGGAAGAGTGTATTGTTGCCTATGGTGAATAATCTTAAAATGTTCCTTCTGTGGGTCATTCAATAGGTTCTGCCTCTTCTCTTCATTGGGTTGGTGCATGGTGTGAAGAGGGCTGCTGGCAGTGGTGGTGAGGGCACATTTCTCTGGGGAGGGATGCCTGTTAATCAGGCTGAAAGGATGGGCGGAACTTGGCTTCACCACAGAAGACATTGGACGGTCAGTGTTATAGTGACCTAGCAGGTGGGTCTGAGGAGCTGCTTGGCCCTTCTCCTGGCTCTGCATCTTATTAGTGGTTACAGTCTTAGGAATATTACTAAGTGCTTCCATTTCTTTGCCTATAAAACTGACATCACAATAGTGTCTTTCTCATAGTCGTATCATAAGGAATTAAAGTATGTTGAATAAGGTCTTTGGCTTTGTCTCTAGAGTCAAGGTCGTTTGCAGTTATCCCCCCACTCCCCTTAAAAAACAAAACAAAAATCTATTCTGTGTCCTGGGGAATGGCCACCCAACACCACATACCACCTCTGAGAGCCTGCAGCTGTGCAGGTGGAATGGCTGTTGGGGCCTGCACAGAAGCCAGCTGGGGGGTGGGGAGTGGCACCTTGCCTTGCCATAGCCCTCTTCTCTTCTGTGTCAGCTTCCTCTTCTCTACTGTGTCCACCGGATGTTCACCTCTCAGACGGAGGGGGAGCTCAAAGTGACTCAGGTTCTCAGAGAAAAGTTTCCACACGCCACAGCTATCAAGGTCACTGACATTTCAGGTAAGACTTTCTCTTAGCCTTCCTGGGGAGCTTTGGTAAGATTTTGCCTTGGGGAGGGGCAGGGCAGGAGGGCTTGGAGGAGGGAACTCGCTGCCAATGATGAGTCAAAAACATCAGAGAACCTGGGAACAAGGCCCAGCTCAGGGGAACCCAAGGTTGCCAGCCTGGCCTTGCTCAGACAAGACCGTGTCAGTCACCCTAGAGCTCAGGTCTGTACTCTCTGACAGCAGGATGGACTTACTTTACTTTCCCCCACATTAGTCTGACTCCTAGAATGGCAGAGCTCTAATGGGCCCCAGGCAGGTTTTATCAACTGCCTAATTTACTTTCCCCAGGAAGAAACAAACTGGCAGGACCAAAGAACCTTTCTACCCCGCCCCAGCCAGCTAAGCCCTGCCTTCCCCAGAAGTTCAGGTTGGCCATGTGTCCAGGGTAGGCTGGGGGGTGGGGGCAGCCCCTATACCCACAGGAGCGGGGAGATAGGCCCTTTATCCAGTTACACACAGAGATAGCATAGCTGGGGCCAGCTAGGTAGGTGTCTGCCTGAATTGCCACACCCAGACAGCTCAGCTGCTCTCAGCTCACTGGCTTCGCCGAGAGCACAGCATTTACACAGATTGGCAGAACATTTAGAGAGTGGATTTTATTCGGGCAACTACAGGAAGCTCATCTAAAGATCTGTTGGAATGGAACATCAGGTGAGGGCTCTGCCACCCCTATGTAGTGCTGAGGTCTTGATATTACCAGCTCTGTTTTATCTGCCTCAGGCCCAGGGCAGACCTGGATCTCGACCCTCAAGCTGGCTCTGCCCAGCCCTGGATGAAGTGTAAGAGTGATATATGTAATATGTATATATATATATATATATTTTTTTTTTTTTTTTTTTTTTTTTTTTTTGGTGGGAT